TCCCATTAGTCTTCTTCCTGTCATAAGCAAGGTTTTTGAATCTTTAATTAACAAACACTCAATCTCTCATCTTGAATCAAATAACTTACTTTCTGACCATCAATATGGATTTCGGTCTTCTCGTTCTACAGCTGATGTGCTAACAGTAATAACCGATAGGTTTTACCGTGCATTAGATAGAGGTGGAGAGGTTAAGGCTATCGCACTTGACATTTCTAAAGCTTTTGATAAAATTTGGCATGCTGGTCTTCTCCATAAGCTTTCTTCTTATAGTGTAGCTGGTAACGTCTTTAAGATTATTGAGTCCTTTCTTTCCAATCGTAGTATAAAAGTTGTCCTCGATGGACAACACTCTTCTTCACATCCTGTAACTTCAGGGGTTCCTCAAGGTTCAATCCTTGGCCCTATACTCTTTTTAATTTACATTAACGATCTTCCAGATATTCTCACATCTAAGGTGGCATTATTCGCTGACGACACTACCATTTACTCTTGTCATGATAAGAAGCCTACACTCTCTGATTGCTTGGAGGGGGTATCTGAGCTTGAAAAGGATCTCACTTCTGCTACAGCATGGGGCTCACAGTGGCTGGTGAACTTTAATTCAGATAAAACTCAATTTTATTCGGCCAATCGTTATCGTAATAATTTAGATCTTCCTATATTTATGAATGGTAATGTACTAGATGAGTCATCTACCCTTCATCTTCTAGGATTAACTCTTACTTCTGATCTTTCTTTTAAACCGTATATCAAATCCATTGCAAAATTAGCATCTGGTAAGGTTGCATCTCTTTATCGAACTCGACACTTTCTTACTCCAGATTCTATTCTCTATCTCTATAAATCTCAAATCCGTCCCTGTATGGAATACTGTTGCCACATCTGGGGCGGATCTTCTAATGATGCTCTTTCTCTTTTAGACAAGGTGCAAAAACGAATTGTAAACATAGTTGGACCTGCTCTGGCAGCCAATCTCCAACCTTTGTCACATCGTCGTAATGTTGCTTCTCTTTCTCTTTTCTACAAATACTATAATGGGCACTGCTCTAAGGAGCTAGCGTCCCTTGTGCCATCTACTAAAATTCATTCTCGTGTTACTCGCCATTCAATTAAGTCTCATCCTTTTTCTGTGACTGTTCCTAAGTGCTTCAAAAACTCTTATTCTTCTAGTTTTTTTCCTCGAACATCAGTTCTTTGGAATTCGCTTCCTTCATCTTGCTTTCTTGATTCATATAATTTGCAATCTTTTAAGTCATCAGTCAATCGTTATCTTGCTCTAGAGATTTAGTCTTTTCTCTTCCAGTAACTTCCAACTCTTATAGTGGTTGCTTGCAGCCTTGTTGGAAGTGAAGATGTTAAAAAAAAAAAAAAAAAATTCTACCCAAAACAATTCGGATTTCAAAAAAAATCACTCAACTGGGCATGCAATTATTGAAATAGTCAACCAAATAACTGATGGGTTTGACAATAATAAATTTACTTTAGGAGTATTTATAGATCTATCTAAAGCATTCGACACAGTCGACCATTGCATTTCTTACAAAAAATTAAGCATTATGGTATAATTAATACAATCTATTTCTGGATTAAAAGTTTTTTTACTGATAGAAAGCAATATCTTCATAAGGTGCAATATGGAATATTAAATGTCGTTTGCGGAGTTCCACAAGGATCAATCCTTGGTCCGCTCTTATTCTTAATCTATATTAACGACTTTTGTAATGCATCCTTAAAACTGAACTCAATAATGTTTGCAGACGATACTAATTTATTTCTTGCCAATAATCATATTAAACATCTTTATACAGATATGAACATAGAATTGAATGAAGTAAATAATTGATTTAAAGCTTGTTAAATGTTGAGAAAACCAACTATACTCTATTCCATAAAAAAACTCAAGAATTAAACATTCCTCTTAAATTGCGCGAACTGTACTTGAATGATACAATAATTAAAAAGCAAGCAAGTATAAAATTCCTCGGAATCTATGTCGATGAAAATTTATCCTGGCTTTCCCATATATATTACATACATTCAAAAGTTACCAAAACTATTGGCGTAATGTATAGGGTTAGACCATACGTCAATATGTTAAGTCTCAAATTAATATACTTTGGACTGATACACTGTTTTATTAATTAAAAAACTCCAAAAACACGCTTGCCGTATTATATACTGTAAACATAAACGTGAACATGCAAAACCTCTTATGAGAGATATGAAAATGATGGATATATTTGAAATAAATATTTATCAGCATCTAATTTTTATGTATATTATGCGGCAGTGGTGTAGTGGTAAGAGCGCTCGCTTTGTAAGCGAGAGGTTGGGAGTTCGACTCCCACCACGTCCCTGGAAGTACCGCGCTCAACTTAGTTTCTCCGCGCAGCGGCCTTGCTTGTCAAGGTTCGTGTTTCGGAGTTAAAGAGTTGAGAGAGGGTTGTACCACGAAATACAACAAAAAAATAAAAAAAAAAAAACACAAAAAAATGAGTAGCCTCCTCGACTGTAGTGGCCCCCTCGGGCCTTGGGGAGGTGAATAATGTAAAAAAAAAAAAAAAAAAAAAAAGATACTAAAACAACCTCTTGACAGCAAACTTCAAAGATAAGTTAGAAATAAATTCAAATGAAAAGTATGGTCTAAGATCAAATAGAAATAAAAACTTTAAATTGCCCCGGATATGTAATAAACTCTCAGAATTTTGTATATCTTATCGAGGACCTAAATTATGGAATGACTGTCAAAAGGAATTTAAATTTATGGTAAAGTCTTTAAATTCATTTAAGTTTCAATTAAAAAAAGAAATTTTTAAAATTTGAACATAAAATAAAGTTTTTTCTTTTTACTTTTTTGATTAATTTAACCTTGTCTTGACATTTTAATGATAACATTGTTATTATTATATTTTTATACAAGCTATTTATTCTTACGTTGTTTTATTTAAACTTGTGCCTTGGGGTTCTATGAAAAGATTACGATAACGTAATGTTATCCTTATCTTCTTTGAGCCCCTATCTGATTTAACTTAATTTTGTTGTAATGTATATACTTTTATATTTTATTTTATGAGATTCCATATGTATACGTGTATTGTAATAATATTATACGACGTTAATAAGAAAAAAAAAAAAAAAAGATCCTTCATGTGTGTTTTCAGTACCTTCTTTAAGTTTTTTTTTTCTACTCTTAGTGGAAGTAGTAATACTATTTTGATAGATCAATACAAACAGTTTATCAATATTTTTTTTTTTTTCTTTTTTTTATTTTAATTCGCCTCCTCAAGGCCAAGAAGGCCACTACAGACGAGGAGGCTACTTATTTGTGGCCATAACCCTCTCTCAACTCTATAACTCTGAAACACGAACCTTAACGAACAAGGCCGCTGCGCGGAGAAACGAGATGAGCACAGTACTACCATGGACGTGGTGGGGATCGAACTCAGAACCACTCGTTTATGAAGCAAGCGCTCTACCACTACACCACAACTGCATTAATAATATAAGTATAAATATATAAGTATAAATCAAAAAACAATATTAAAAACAAAATTATTATAGATATGAACTAATTTAAATTCTTAGTGTCATCATTTTAAGTGGAAAAAATAATTAACATCTCAGTTTAATCAACAGTTATGGTTTCTTATAGTAATATTGCTTTTTTTTCATTATCTTTTCTTCGTGTATTTTCTGTTTGCAGTTTTCTCATATTAACCTCTTTTAAATTCATAAGCTTTGATTATTTTTCAAAATTTTCTCCTTATCAAAACATTGCATGGTGTGAAAATCAACAAAATTTGAACCCTTTTCTGCTTGTAATATTATATAGTAGTGCAATATTGAATTCTTTTTTTTCTATCCTGCCTGAAACCATTGCATAGACACTTCTTTTATAATAAAATATGCCTCTTTACATAGGTATACTCCTGGAACTTATATTTTAAAAAGAGTTAAGTTTATTAGTCTAGTAACTAAAGTTTGCGTTTTTCTGCTCCGTGCGTGATTCTCATTCAAACTTAATTTATTCTAATGAATAACATTTTTTGTAAACCAAATATTCAAAGAGATTAGAATTAAATAAGAATAAAGTGGAGAATGCCAGTTTTATTATTATGATAATAAAAAACAAAATAATTACGAGTTTCCATGCTTGATTTTTTTAAACGCCTAGCACTGATTTAAAATATAGCATTACGTTACTCGCTTTACTGTAGAACATGTGTTTATGAGAAGAAAAAATATAATACTGGTATTTTAAAATAAGATTTTAAATGATTATTTAGTAAAAACTTCAAGAAAGTTACAGGATTGCACTACCATCAAATTATTAGTGTTACAGCTATCGTTTAAATCCAGTTGTATGTATGGTGACACACGGAAATCGCAGAGAGAAGTTGAAAATTTGTTGATTTCATGTTGTGATTTTTATGAAAATTAGTTAATTGTGAGTATTTCAAGCACAATTTTAAATCTCTACAAATCGTATTTAATATATTGAAAATATTTCATATTGGCTTGAAATTATATCAAATTTATGGCTTCAAATTGTTTGCAAAAATAAATAAATCAAAATTTCTTTAAACTTTTGCACTTAATAATACATTATAAATCATTTTTAGAGAATTATAGTTATAAAACTATAAACCAAATAACACCAGAATGGAGTATAAAAAAGCTTTTTTTTTTTTTGAAGCTTTGGAAGTGCTCCAAAGAAATTTTTTATTACACCAAATGTCACTAAAAATGTTACCTAAAGTCATACTCTACACTTTATTATTTAGAAAGAAATGTGTTGTTAGAACTGCAGAGCTCGAAGAGTAAAAAGAAATGCAACTAGCCTTGTCCAACCCTGCTCCTTTCTGTTAATAATCTTTGCTATTTAATATTTAGGATTTTGCCATTATATTGCTTGTCAATTTATAATTTAAAGTTTCAAATAAAAATCACTAAAATAAGTAAACAAATAAAAAAATAATAATAATAAAAAGATATACCTTCTTTTTCAACTGAGCTGCTAAATAAACAATTTCCCATTTTATTGTAGAAACCTTAAATAGATCACACAATAAATTTATAACAATATAAGAAATATTTCCTAATACCAAGAAAATATCTTTATGAAAAAATATACAAAGCAAACATTTAGAGGCCCATGGTAAGGTAAAAAAGGCCCATAGTAATGTAAAAAATAGTACTATTTTTAATTGATTTTAAAATTGCTGATTTAATTTCTTTTTGAATATGTTGTTTTAGTTAGTTACTTTTAGAATATTCCGTTCGATGTACAAATGATTTCTAAATAAGTATTTTATATAGTCATATATCAAAAACTTTGTTTTTATAGTTAACTTTTTACTGAGAATTTATTTAACAGTATTAAATGCTTTATTAGGGATACCAAATCATACAAAAAAACTATATATATATATATTTTTTTTTTTAAAAAGTGCTTTTTTACTAACTAAATTTCTTGTATCGCCTTAGTAAAAAAAGTTCAAAAAGAAAAACAAAAAAAAATTAAAAAACAAAAAAAAAAATCTTATTATATTATAAATATTTACTGTAAAATTCGAAATGTCCTTTTATTGAGCAATGCACAATCAAATAAAATAAGTGACAACAATGTCTCATTAAATTACTTATATTAAAATAAAATATAAAATATAGCAGACTAATGTTTAAATATTCATAAGTTCATTATTACAAAAGCCGTAAACTTCAACAACTTTACTTGCGTTTTAGTTAGATCCCTAGCTCTAACCATGTTTGTAATCTAGATCTACTGCTCTAATCATGGTTGTAAATTTAACAAATTTGTTGAGATTTAACAAATTTCTAATGTAATAAATATTTCAATACTGTCATTGTACTTATGATTTCATAACAAAAATAACAGAAATGCTCTAATCTGCATTAGATGGAATAGGAGAAGTTAGATTTTTTTGTTTTCTTGTAGGAGAGCCTTGAACTTGTAATAGAGGCTAACATACTTGACCATAATCATTCTTAATATGTTTTTAGATTTACTGAGTTAAATCTAAATTTTTAAACTTTTAAACCTTTCTTCTCTAGGTGCTCTAAATTAGTTTTATTAGCATATGATACGATAATACAATCTAAATATATAGTTGCATCATTATAGATATATAATCCAGTCTTGATATAAAACCACAACTTTTTGATTAGCTAGCCATAATACAACAGGTAGCAAGAGGTTATTATGATTGTCATCTATGTTATCATTTTGTCATAAGTTTACTTTTCTTTGTCTCGCTCTCTGTTTTTTTTTTTACTACTATTTCAAAATCCATCCTTTGAAAAACTTTTATTTATCTTAATTTAGAATACTGTTATTATTTTAATGCTGGGTCATATATACATGTTCTTTTTTTTTCAAAAACATATTTAAAAAGTAGTGCATAAACATATTTAAAAAGAAGGTAATCTTGCTAGCATTGAAGTTTGATAATGGACAAAACATTCTTTTTTCAAAAATTGTAGATGAAATAAGTTTTTTTATAGTTTAAAAATTAGAGTCACTTGATCAAAAAATACTAAATTTATTAAAATTTAATAGGCATAATAAAAAGTAAATTTAAAATCACTAAAATTATAAATTGCAAGTTTTTAATTTAAACTACACAATACTTTTACATTTTGATTTTTTAAGACAACTTTATTTTAAAGAAGTTTTCGCTCGCATCAAACAAACAAAATTGTTAGTATCAAAAACTATAATTCTAACTGTAATAAATTTTAAAATCATGCTTCTCTAGTATTCACCGTTCCTAGCTCGACGCCACGAAATAATTAAGAGTTGTTTTGATTTCAAATCTGCCATTATGGAGGACAACTAAGTTAGCGGAACTAATATATTAATTATAATATTCATAGTTTTTTCAAAAAATATAATATTTTATAAAATTTAATCTATAACCAGAATAAGAAAATATAAATCCTGATCTGATTTATTTAGCTATTTAATAACTATATTTATATAATATATAATATTTATATATTAAACTTTAATTTAAAATAAAAAAATGATAATAGCCTATTATCATTTTTTTATTTTAAATTAAAGTTTAATATATAAATATGCAAATATTGTAATAATAAAATTATAATATGGTCTACTTTTGTGCTGTATTTGGATGTTCAAATCGTGAAAAGGGAAAATCTTTTTTTCGTTTACCAAAAGTAGCTTGCAATCAAGGCGATGATGGTAAGATTGTATCCAGAATTGTATATAGAATTGAGTGGTGTCGTCTGCCAACATAATAGTAGACATAGTATTTGATGCTTTATATAGATCGTTGACATAGATTAAGAAAAGCAGCAGCGGACCTAAGATGGAGCCTTGTGGAACCCCACATGATTTTTTAAATTTGTTTGTCTGAAAGCTGTCATTTAGAGAAATAAACTGCTTTTGATCAGATAAGTAAATGGTAAACCATTTGTGTCATTTGTGGCTTATTCAATAATGCTTTAGTTTTTCTTATAAAATTTGATGGTTAACAGTGTGTTAACGGTGTTAACGGTTGTTAACGGTTAATGAGAAGATGCCCCACTGATAACTTCAACATGTTGCATAAGTGCATGTTCCGTAGAGTAAACTGATCGAAAATCATATTGGTTATAATAAAGAAGATTGTTATCATTCAAAAATGCAAATATCATATTATACATGATACCTTTGAGGATTTTTTAAAAAATAGGTAACACAGATATAGGTTGATAATTTGTAACCAGACATTTATCTCCTGATTTAAAAATAAGTGTAATAATTGCAACTTTCAGTTTATCTGGAAAAACACCTGTTTTAAGCAATTTGTTAAAAATATCTAATAAAACATCTTTAAGAAGTTTATAGCAGTCTTTGATTATGCTTGCTGAAATAGAGTCATAGACTGTTGCTTTGTTTATATTTAGTTTTTTTATGGAGTCATCATGTTCTTTTTTTAGTGAGCTTTTTAAATGCTAAGCTTTTATCCGACTTCGATAGATAGTTCAAGAAATCTGCAGGAGTGTGTTTAATTTTACTGGCTAAGTTTAGACCAATATGGACCAATATTTCTATATATTATTTCTATATACTATAGACCAATATAGTCTATATATTATTTTGTTTCTTTATAAAATTTATATAATATTATATAATAAATTTTTTTTTGTTCTATGAGATTTAATGCAATTGTAAAGTTTATTTTACTATTATTGTTATTATTGTTCCTGTTATTATTTTGATATTTTACATTATTATTATTTATTTATTATTAACTTCATAAAATCGACATGATGTGATCATAATATTCATGATTAAGCAAGGTAAACTTAGCTGTTCTGAATTATCCGTTATTAGATGTGATCAAAATAAAACTATAAGACTTATAAAAAGAATTGAATTTTTAGAATCGAAAAAGAAACCGAAAATAGTTAAGCTGCGTTTTGGTCAAATCTTTATGACAAAAATAATATGCGGAAAAAGCTATTGTTGTAAACTCAATTACTAAAACTATATTATCTGAACAGAAAGAGAAAAAAAAACGAATAGAATAGTGAAAAGAATATTATCGTTTTGTGGAATTCCAGAATCAAATAATTTAGATAAACGTGAAAAAAAACAACGACGACAAAAAAAAATTGACTAGAAGTTTGAGAATATTGGTAAAGGCAATGTAAAACCTATTAAAATATTAAGAATAAAAAATAAAAAAGACTCAAAAACTCCTTCGCCCATTATTGTTGTACTTCCTGAAAACTGCGAACGCAATAAAGTTTTACTTGCCACAAAGGAATTACGCAAAACATAAAATATACAAATGTGTAAATTAATCCAGATATGACACTCGTCAAAAAGCAAATCGATCCTAAACTTAGAAAAAAAAAGAAGTAAAAAAAACAACCAAATACTCCTAAAAAATGAACCAAACTCACCCTTTTGATAGTGCATTTGGTACAACGAAGTCTTTAAACTCAATTTTAGTAAACAAAAAATATAAAAAAACTATAAAAAATTGTATTTATTTTTAAACCATTAATAAAATTACTGAGATTTAATCCGTAAAAGCTATATACACACACATTGACTCCTTATTAAATAAACGCCATCAGGCTCCAACAAATTGTAAACAATCTGAAAACCGAAATTATTTTTTTAACAAAAACTCTGTCTAAAAATAAAAAAATTGAAGTTTTGAAAAAAATTAAAATACACAGGCCCTTTGTATTATTACATATTTTCCTAATATTTATAAATATAAATGAATCTGTTCATTCTAATAGTTTAAAAAAGCTCTTTTTTTAAATCTAAAACTAACTTTTTATGTTTTTAGAGAGGATTGATTGTTCATGTGCCCAATTGCCCGAACAGGGGAAACAAGCCCTAAGATTTTTTGTATTTTCTTAAAATTTGTTAACGTAAATAAATACGTTCACTCCTTCAGTTTGATAAAGCTCATTTACGTTAACTGAAGTTAATTTTTACGTTTTAAACAATGCATTTAAATCTTTAAACCCAATTGCCCTAAAGGGACAAACGAGCACTGGGATCCTTACCTAGGGGCCCTTTACATGAGAATATTACTTTGTAGAATTTGTTGAATGCTTTGATTTTTTTAGTAAAAAATGAAAACATTAAAGATAATTTAGCATAAGTACTTCAATGACACTTTTTCTCATGGATGGCATTTAAAAAATAAACTTAATATCAAAATTTGAGGCCATAAACCGTCAAGGAAAACTTAACAAATTTTGACTCAATTATGTTTGAATACAAAACATAACCTAAAATAACTTACGCTTTGAATACCTAAAATAACTTATGCTTTGAATACAAAACCTAAAATAAAAATTTTTTAGAATCAATATCTTCATTCTTTTCGAACGGCCTTATCTTCTTAAGAACCATTTTATGCGAAAACCAAGCAATTTAAAAAATTATATTCTTCCATCACGCTCAATTTTTTAACAGTAAAGCTAATAAGGTAGCAAAAAAGCCTTTAAATTTTTTTTTTTTTAATTTTTATAGTTCCTGAGTTATGGTTGGTCAAACATTTGAACCTTTAACTCTTGGAAATTCATTAAGGTTGTTTTGTGATTTTCAAGCAAAACTTAAAGACAATGAGGTACCTGCATCCTAGTTTGCCTTTATATTAGAGAAGTATAGATCAAACTTTTCATATCTTGTTGCCAAAAGTATTTGTATTAAATTAAAGGTATTTGTTTTAATATGGAAACTTATTTTTTACTTTTTTTGTGTGCTTGTTCAAAGGATTAAAACAATACCATTTTATTCTCATACCTCGATAAGTAAACTTTCATAGTTTACTTATCGAGGTATGAGAAACTTGTCGAGGTATTTCAAACTCGTCATAGTTACAAATAAAATTCATAGGATTTACGTTGCTTAGATTACTTAATTTGGTAAGACAACAAAATTTTCATATCTTTTCATATATTTTGAATTTATAAAATGTAAATAAACGGCTGGACAAAAAAAAGACAAATTTAGTCTTATCACCAACCCCCTTAGATTAACACCAGTTGTTATAGCTATACCTTATTATTATTGTTATTATTATTGCTATTATTATTATTATTATTATTTTTTATTATTTATTATTATTATGATTAAAAAGTGTTGGGATAGATAAGACTTTATTAACTTTAAATAAATCTAAACACTTTTGAAAATTTTAAATTTTTTACATGGCTTCCGTTTCAAAAAAAAAAAAAATGTCTGTTACGATTTTTTTTTTGCTAATGCATTAATTGCTTTAAATATTTTCTATTATTAGTGTAATTCTGTTATGCTATCACTATTATTGCTAATGTCCAAGTTGCTGATAAATGTGTTGTTTTTATTGTTGTTAGTGTTGATGCTTTTGACGTTAACTCTTTTAGCATTGTATTAGCATGGGAGTTCTATTAGTTAACCTTTTATTGCTATCTCTATTTTTATTGATAACTCTATTTTAAAGTTTTTATGAATTTGTTGTTTTGCTGAATAGTTTAGTTTCAACATTTTTTTAAAATTTAGTTTCTCAGAACCGAATTAAAGTTACACAATGTGCAGCAAATTTGGAGAAGACACCACTGCAATGGAGGTTGTAGAAGGCATCAGCTTAAGAGGCTATGAAGTAATAGTGACCGGTAGAAATTCTGGAATTGGTGTTGAAACTCTTAGAGCTTTAGCTAAAGCTGGTGCCAGATGTGTTCTTTGTACAAGGGATTTGGAAAAAGGACATCACGTTGCTAAAGAATTAATTGCTTCTACGAAAAACGATCAGATCGAGGTCGAGTTGGACTCTTTAAAAAGTGTAGATGACTTTGTGGAAAGATTTCTTGCAAAAAAGAGACCGTTAAATATCTTGGTTAATAACGCTGGAGTTATGGCTTGTCCTAAATCTTTTACTAAAAATGGATTTGAAAAACAATTTGGTATTAATCATTTAAGACATTTTGCCTTGACTATTAGACTTTTACCCGCGTTGAAAGAGGGCGCAAAACAAATGAGTAACAAATCTAGAGTAATCAATGTCAGTTCAACAGCGCATGCGTTTTCAAACGTTGATTTTAATGACATCCATTTCACAAAAGGTAGAGAATACAAAAGATTTGTTTCGTATGGACAGTCAAAAACATGCAATTTTTTGTTTTCATTGGCTTTGGCAAAACGGTTTTTCAACGATGGTATTGCATCGAATTCAGTTATGCCTGGAAATATCGTAACCAATTTAGGAAGACATCTAAATAAAGAGTTTTAGATAGAAAATAACGAGTTTTAGATAGAACTGATTGATGAAAATGGAAAATTTCTGAAGAAATTTAAGTTAGTTGAGGCGGGAGCCTCAACATTAGTTTGGGCTGCAGTATCTCCAGAATTAGAAGGAAAATCTGGTCTGTATCTGGAGAATTGTTCCATTGGCAAAGAAGAATCAGACATTAAAAAGATACGGACTATAATCTTAGGTTATGCACCATTTATTATGGATGATGAAGCTGCTAATAAGCTATGGAACATTTCCGAGGAGCTGCTAAGTAAAAGATCTCTCTAACTACATTTGCTTAGCTTCTTGACTTACAAGTCTATAAATTTTATATATCTAAACTTGTAGGCTTAATTGAGAAAACTATTTTAAATATAACAAATAAAACATTTTTTTGGTTTAAATACTAAGTTTTTTGTTCGAAATTTTTTGTGAATTTTTATTAATTGGATTACTTTTATAATTTGAATTAAATGTCTATTACTTTTAAAATCTATTAAAAAAGTGATTTTAAATAATTTGTAATATATGGTCTGACTAAAGCCTAGACAATCCATCCAAGTAATAGTTGGGTTACAACATTACGGTTCTATAAGTAAATCAATAAACAAAAATTATAAAAAAAGCGCCTATAATGCCCACCAAATAAAACTAATCTGGTTTTTAGTTTATATAGTAGCAGTTTTATTTAAAAATTGTAAAACTAATTATTAAGTATTACGATGCAATTTTCCGTATAGATATGAAATTTCTAGTAGGTTTAGATAGAGCTAGTTAAACGTTTTTTACTAAACCTAACATTCTCTTCAACTGTATTGAAATGTAACCTGCAATTAGGCATTTTATATTTATATTTTTGGGATTTTAAGACTAAGACTGTATTCTTCTAAGTCTCGCTCATTTATTGATTATAGTTCACAAAAAAAATTAACTTTAATTTAATCTATACTTACATTTAATGTGGCTCTGGACACTAGAGACCATAAAAAAATAAAGTTATAAATTAAGCTGGAATCGTTTTGAGACTTCGGATCCATGGTATGTAAGCTCCAAACATTTTGCAATTGTGATGATAAAACTCCATTCCATAGGTTTGATGCCTTTTATTATTTTGATATTTTATATGAAAAATTTTAAGTATAAAAATTTTTTTTATTAGGTTTAATAGAACTAATGTTTTTTTTTTTTTTTGTTTGTGATGATAAGCACACATATACAAACAGACAGTTTGCAAAATTATGGTTTGCAAACTGTCTGTTTGTATATGTGTGCTTGTAAAAATAAGCTTAAATATTTAAATAGACAACCAAACTACACTACCATCATCAATATCAACGCCAGTGCTTACTATAGCACTGCAAGTAGAGCAGTTTTCACCTGATTTGGTCAATTGTCATGTTGAAGGTGTGTTTCATTTATTTATGCATTAGCAAATGATGAATTTGCTTGTTTGTTCATATGAACTTAATAAATATATAGAAAATATTTTCTTACTATTATTACTATTATTTTTATTAAATTTTTATTATGCGTATTTAAAAAATATATATTTATTTTATTTTTCTTCGCATTTAGGAAATGATCATCGAAAACTGATATTATTAGAAGAGATTAAACAAAATAATTAAACTATAATTTTTCTTCTGCCTCAATTATCAGCACAACAGTAGCGTGGTAATATAGAAACAAGCTTTAATGAGTTTGGGCTTCCTGTTTCATCAATGGAACATTTACAAAAACTAGAAACAGATTGCCTTGACAATGACCTCCAAGGAAAGCTTGTAAGATATTTGTTATAATTGTTTAGTTCTCTTATTCAAGTTACATTAAATTTTTTACATAGTAAATAATATCTTTTGAAATTGTTTTTTTCCTTTTAGACCATTTTTAGTCCCTTTAGTTATTTAGGTCAGTGTGGCGCAGGTTTGGCATTAAAAATACTGCTTAAAAAAACCCGCCCAAAAAAACCCGCCTAAAAAAACCCAATAAAACCTGGGTAAATCTGAGTGTTATTGAGTTTTTTAAAGATATTTAATAAGTTTATGATTTTTAACTAACATAATGATTAATTATTAATATTAACTAAATTATTATTAACTGATATTAATAACTATTATAACCAACAATAACAGCTATCAGACTAATATTTGAACCATTACTTTGAAATACATAATAACAATTTTTATTAAAATATTTTTATGAGTTGAGATTTTTTAATCTTTTATTTATTCAACTCCTTAGGTGAATTTAAATGAGTATTAGTGGCCAGAGAAAGCCACTACAGTCGAGGAGGCTACCTCGTGGTTACAATCCTTTTTCAACTCCTAACACAATTTTTAATAAACAAGGCCATTGCGCGAAGAAACAAGTTCGTTCATTTAAATTTCAAGTTCAAATTTTAATTTAAAACTTTAAATTAAAAATTTGAAACTTTAGTTATTCTATAGCCTTCTATTTCCTATATCTCATTGAGATTTTTAATTACATAAAATAATACTTTTAAATTTAAATTAAACCAATACATATAGATTTAACGCAAATAATTTTTTTCTATTATAGTTTTAAGTTGTATTTAAAAATCTTTTTCAAAATAATTTGAAAAGTTCTTATGAATTATTAAATAATAATATATAAATATAATTTAAATAAAATTAAAGTATAAAATTTCATTTAATTTTTTTTTTTTTTCAATATTATTAAAAAAAAAAACATTTTTACACAGTCGAAATAAAAATAAAACCCAAAAAAACCCAAGTTTACCCAAAAAAACCCTAAATTACCCAAAAGAAAAACCACTAAGCCGGTTTTTTTTAAAAAAAAATCCGGGCTTTCACTGAATCAACTAAAAATGTTTTTAGGCGGTTAATATCAAACAGCATAGCAGAAGTTAGTAATTGGAAGGGTAAATATGCTATTGGGAATAGAAAGCTTAGTCAAGTTACAAATGAGCCCATAAGAGTAAAAGTGGGCCAAGTCCATATTTCTATATTGTTAGAAATAAGCGTTCTTAGTGTTTGCATATATTATAAATCAGCCATATGTAATATTATTGATGTCTAGTATCATTTTAAATCTTTTTTCTTAGACAACAAGATATGTGAAATGCACAAATAAATTTTTGAATAATTATTAATAATATAATAATAGTTATGGACTTGGTCCATTTTTTCTCTAAACATAATCAACAAATCGCTAAATCATTTTAGTGTAAAATCATGAACAAGTTTCATGTTATTTGTTTACAATAGCAATTCAAATTAAGACAAGTAGTACAAATTCCTACTATGTTGTAAAAAAACACAATTACTATTTACTAATTATTGGCAAAAACAGTCCTCATTATTACAAACAGTACAATAAAAACCACACGATTTTACTGATCATCATCGCCGCTGTCATTGAGCAGTTCATCTTCTAGTACATCCTTGTTGTGACCGCTGTGTTCCAACTTTTGATAGAAGTCATGATAGATGGGAGGAATTTTTTTACTTTAACAGTTTCATTAGATCTGAGTATTTTTCTTTGCTCAGTTTTGTTGCTCCACAGTACAGTGGAGCCAAACTCACTTCACTAAGATTTGTTTGACGTCCGCACGTTTCGCTAGCGAAATGAAACTGAATGGTGCGTCATCATCTAAAGAGTATTTAAAGAACAGTTTGTATGGCTCGTTCTTTCTAAGTTGCAGCCATTGCATATCCAGCCAGTTGACCTTCTGATCACTCTCATCCACTTTCCGATTTGTAATTAATTTCAATAAGGGCTCCACACTCTTGAAATTATCAGTGCTTAATCTTGCAACACTGAAGCGCTTCTTCATAGAGCAGTTCTCGATCAATTTGTACCACTGTTCTGCCACGAAGATCTCTGTGGATTTTGGTTTTGCTCTCTCAAATATTCCAAAATCTGCACCGTTAGGAAATTGCCCAAAGACCATAAACTTATGATTCACCAGTTCAATACTCGTCGTCTGCGTCAAATGCATCCATAACAGTGCAATTTTTATATTTCGATTTTGGCCGCCGCACGAGTCGCTGAATGCTGTAATAGACGTAATATCCCTATTTGCCAGATTTTGACAATATGCCAATAAGCATGAACCGATTTCACCTGCACCTCGTGAGGCTGTTCCCTCATTCCATACATTCATCACTAACCCTAACCCTAACCCTGAATCACTGCATTGTCATTTTTAAGGTCATGAATGCCTAGATTATACACTGATAATTGCCGGCAATAATAAACTTTATTGGTTGTAAGGCAAGGCAATGACATGACCTTTTGCAGGTCAAAACAAAAAAATGCATGTTTATTGTCTTCATTTCCCTTTTCTAGTTTTAAGGATTGACGCGCCTTCTCTACTTTGCGCAAATGAATCTCATGCGCTGCTTTTAGTTGAGATTTTTTGTGTTCAGTTTTTTCTATTTCAATGTCTGTTTTAAAAATGTCACATTTCTTGCACGTATCTTTTAGTGGCTGATGGAACGTCAAGTTAAATTCATGATTAAAAATGTCCCAAAATTTCCACTTTTTTTGGGGTTCGACTGAATCCTGTATGCATTTTTCTCTATACATGTCGTACATGGTGGATACAGTCAAATGAGCAGGTAGAAAGCGGCGAGATGCACTGTGACTTCTAGTATAGTGACTTTCGTATGTGGGAAACATGCGAATATGATCTTTAATGCGAGTGATGTGTTCCTCATGAATGCGTTGTGTCTTGTGATCATATTTTCCTCGTCCATCTTTGCCTGACACACCACCGTTCTCCCGTTGGTTGACTAACGCACGATTTAGTCGACCGCTGCTAATGTCAAATATCGCTAAGAAGTATGGTTTGCAAACAGTAACGGGCTTAATATCTGCAAACACAGAGTATACTCGTGCAAAATCCTTTGCATGTTTTTTTTCATTTTTCGTATTTTTGTTTTTTCTTACTCTTGGTCGTCTACGTTCTACTGTTGATTGTTTCACGCAGCCAGCAAGAAACAGATTTTGTGCATCAAAATCTCCCAATTTCCAGAAATTTTCAAACAGAGTTTTAGTCTGCTCTAAAGTCAAATTTTCAGCACATTTGTTTTTGCAACTGTGATTTATTAAATAATGTTTGTTTAATTTCTTAGCTTTTTGTAACGTTACGCCATGCTTTACATTTTTGCTACCTGTATTTCGTAAGCGCTTAATCACATTTTTCTTCCAGTTCGTTACACAACGTTTTTGTTTTCGAGGGCGTTGATTGGTTATAATCGGAGATTCAGTTGTTACAATCGGAGATTCAGTTGTTACAATCGGAGATTCAGTTGTTACAATCGGAGATTCAACTGCTTCAACCGGTTAATTATCGGCTACAATTGGAGATTCAGCTGCTAATGTAGAACGTTCTGTCTGTATATCTGCTGCTAAGTTAGGATCTGCAATTGTTGTATCTGTAGCTAGAGATCTCTGAACCTTCTTGCACTTTATCAATGCCAGTGACTCCATGTGAATGCATGATTACACTATTCTACAATAAATATTTTTTAAATATTACATACATTCAGAATATTATTAGAAAGAATAATGCACATGTCCACAACATGCATGCAAGTGCTCCCCTAGCTAGATGTTATTAAAGCCACAAAATTGACCTTTCTAAAGAGGCTGTAACTTTGGTAGTGACAGACCATTATATCTACTGTCTAACAAATCAATATTTATATTCCTGCTGAGAGCAATTGAATAAATCTTATATTATCGCTAACCAAACTATTTTAGTTTTGTCACTTTATAAAGTGTGAAAGTGCTGTATACTTCACTATATTAATATAAAACCAATATCAGATATTCATTTAAAGCATCTTACCTATACAAATGTTATTCTTATTCTAATATAATAATAATAATAATTCTAAGAAAATTTGTAGTTTATGTGGTCTTGAATCTTGATTTCTTACATTAATGCACTATCAATGGACTTAGTCCACTATTACTCTCTATACCTCGTGATTTATTGTTAGAGTAAAAATGTGCTGTCCTCTGTTGAATAAGAAATAAATGTGTTATGGACTTGGTCCATTTTTGCTCTAAAAATATAGCAAATTTTATTTTTTTGTTTTATTTTAAAATGTCATTATCTCATCTTACTATTGATGTTTTTTTTATTAATATATATTTTTTAAATATTTACTTATAATTTTTATCGTTTTATATAAATGAAAGTAAACGAGTTTATAGTTAATACTTATAAGTGTGTATGCATAATACATGTTTATTTTATTTAGATGCTGTTCGGCGTAATCCTATAACATGTCGCGGTACAGATGCTAGGTTGCTTGTGCCATTAAAGCATGGCTTCAATTCGCGAAATTCGTGTGGAGGGAGGAGAAGAAACATGATTTTAACGATTTTGGTTATATAGTTTTATATATAGTTTCTGATTTTTTTGTATGTGTGTAATTGTTTAAATTATTTTGTTACGAATAAACGTTTAACTAGAAACCAACAAACTTATTAACTTTAATACTTTTATGAAACTTTAAATACTTTTACATTTTCAATTTTCATAATAACGTTAGTTCAATGAGTATCAAATCATCCCAGTCGTCAAACAACGCGTTACTAACATTGTTGGAAGCAATGCTTGAAGTCTTAG